CGTGGGTGGCGTGAAGTTCGTGCGCTCGCAGCGCCTCGTATTGGAACTAACTGGCCTGACCATCCCGAACGTCGGGCGCCACGACGCCGGCCTCTACTGCTGCTCCTTGCCCACCGCCGGAGGTCAGTTCTAGTCGAGACGTCGGGACTAGAACGTCAGACATCAAGGTGAGAAGCCTGCCTTGAGGGTGGGCCCATTTATACAGCTATGTTGTTTGGGCATATAATAATATTACAATAAAACTGCTGATGGACGTATTTCAAGAACTAATCACTGATAGGATTCATGCTCTCACGAGATCAGTGGATACTGTTGAATGGTAATTTTGACACTCTAATATATTGGAATAATACAAAATTTTACATTCAGCACTTACATATCTGTAAAATTATAAATTTACTCCTAGGTTCTGTTCAAGCTGCATTTTTCATTCGTAATTGTGAAACAGAATTGGTACTACAACACCATCTGGACGTGCTGTACCCCCCCCCCCTCGGTGAACTCGTCTAGCCCCCCGGTACAGCAAGCGGTCCTTGGGCAGCGATTGAAACTTTTCTGCAACGCGGATGGAAACCCGCGATCTGAAATTAATTGGACCTTCGAAGGGGGCGCTCTTCCCGCAGGGGCTGCCGTGGACCAGGTAAGCGATGTTGCCGTACCTTTTTTCGGTTAAATTTTTGAGCTTTTGCCGACAAAAGCATCGCAGAGGATGATTTTCTTCGTGTTGCAAATACTCAATACTCTATCAGCTGTGGAATGATCATTTTGACGAAAGAAAATTGCTCACTGAAGAATGCAGGTGGAATTAAAAAAATTGTGAAATTTAAATTTTGAGGTGAATGTGTGAAGAATGTTTGAAAATGAATGAAAATAGATTGTGAGCAAATAACGTTTGAAGAACATACGAAGAATTTCCCGTGAAATATAAGAACGTTTGTTCTTTCTTGTAAAAATGTTAATAAAAATTTCAATTCTGTTCCCACCCAGGCCGGATTTCTGATTCTCGAGCAAGTGGACCGCCTGATGGAAGGAAAGTACGTTTGCACGGCGGAGAATAGCAATGGAGCACCTGCTTCTACGACGATGGTAGTGGTCATCGAATATCCACCACACCAGAGATTGTTATAGAAAAAGTACGTTTTACTCAATAAAATCTAACATGCTTCACTTGAGAACACTATCTAATGGTTAAAATATTAAGCCCTAATAAGATTTATTATTGACGAAAAGACATCGAGTTGAACAAACAAGCACGATCTAATAATTGAACATGACAATGACCATGACCAGCTAAACGCTGCATATATACAGCAGTGTTTCGCTTTCTATCATAGCTCTTTGGACGACATAACACTTGATGAGGATTTTGAATCCATATTTTATTGCTTCAAGGCCGTTCCCTCAGTGGCCAATATTTCATCTCATATATGTATTCGGTGGTGCGAACTGGTGATGGGGACCAGCTGGAGTTGGTGTGTCTAGCGCGCGGCCGCCCGAGCCCCCGAGTTTCTTGGACAAGGAAAGGCCAGTCAGTGGACCACGCGACACACTCGACCGTCGCAGACGATGTCTACCGCAGCACGCTTGTCATCCGCCCCATGACGGAGCAAGACTTTGGCAACTACGTCTGAACTGCAGAGAACAGCCACGGGCAGAAGAGCGTGGTCGTGCAGATGACGTAATGGCGTGTTTTGGTGAACAGTAGAGCCGGGGGCGGAAGAGCGTGGTCGTGCAGTTGACAGGTAATGGCGTGTTGCGGTAAATAGCTTGAATTGAGACAGAAGACCACAGTCGTGCATATGACGATAAGGCTGTTTTGTGGTGAACAGCTCCCTGGTCAAACCGAAGCCACCCCTGAAACCTAATTTATCCGCGCAACACCTTTTTTCTTTTCTCCAATTATTTCATTTCCGAGCTTTCAAACAACGACTCGGAAGATGCTTGTCTACATTGTTACACTAAATTATTTATTTTGAAATGATCAAATCAGTGCTGAATGTGCAACGGTGTCCCGATGTCCCATCAGGACTCCCTCTTCAACTGCGTTTAACGGGCAACCCATTTGGCGGCGTAGCAAAATCTTACGCCCTCGTCTGGGAAACCGAGAGCTTATACCCCATCATTGCCTATAAAATCGTCTACGGAAGGGCACAGGTATTTCATGAGATACCGCATGGCTTTTTTGTATCAAGTTAGTCATTGTCGGTGATATATGTAAAGGTAATGAAATAACGCGGATAATCTCTGTGTTGATATTATTTTTTACTCCTTAAATTTGAAATATTCTTATACAAATGGATTATTCGTTATTTACTCATTTCATAGAAATGGTTCATAATATTAACTTTGCATGCAAATTCATAAAATCTCTCGACCCTCAAATTTTTTACGATATAAGACATTGATATCATGGCGTTTGTTATTGCTGTCGCTTTCCGACGAACATGCACATAAAAGTATATACCTGCAATTCTTACAAAACTATGGATTAAATTGAAATTAATAATTATGGCATATAGTGTAGAATAGGGATGTACAACATGTTTAAAAAATATTCTTTTATAGAACTGTGCCGACTACAGCTGACTATTTTTCTCGATTTCGGTGCTTCCATCGGCAAGAAAAATCCGGAAGTAATAAAATATGATTATTTTAGCGAATGAATATTTATACCTCTTAATTATTTCCCTTTGATGGTGCACAGAACCAAGTAAACGAATCTATTACTGAGGACGAACACGAAATTATTGAAGAAGAGGACGTGAAGGCTGAGACGTGGAACACTCATCACGTCATGACTGGCATTCTCAACGACCTCGATGTTTCAATTGAATATGAAGCCGTCGTCAAAGTCAAGAATATCTATGGCTGATCGACTGAATCGAACAAGTTCTATTTTACCATTATTAGTGGTAAGTCAATAAAAAAGTATTCATGCCGAGCAGGAATAATTTTTCAGTAGGTAGAAAGCATGAGATTGGGGATTTTTTGCTATTTGGAGTGCGCTGAATTTAAATATGGGGCTATTTTGATTACATCATTTCTAGTTTTTTGGTCTTGAAATATTCTTAGTATAAACGGAGAATAAATGTGCATGTTACTGGCATCACACACAAAGAGTCGATGAGAGACTTAGAAGTGTGTTTTCTTAGAAGATATTGTTAATTTTATTTCCGGAATTTCACGCTCAAATTTTCAGGACCTTTGTCTGGTAGTATTTACAGAAAGAAACCCCGACAGTTTTATTTGGTGTTATTACCTAATTTAATTTTGGTGTACTTTTAAATCATCCTTCCATACGGTTTGCATCAATTTAATCATCAATTAAAGATTAAATTATCTCATAAGAAAATATAAATTCATTTGTTTTGTGCCGCCGCATAGCTTCGCCCGTCCACCGCTCAACAAGTAGCTCGGTCGGAGGTGCAGGAGAGCGCTCCTCGGCCGCCGTCTTGCTGCTGCTGCCGCTCCTCGCTGCCGCCGCTGTGGCTCAACGATGTCGCGGCTTCTGCGGCCGCATTACATCGCCATGATTCGCCTGCTGAGATACCGCACTATTTATCTGCCTCTATTTATCTCATTTGGCTGCCGCCGCTGTGGCTCAACGATGTCGCGCCTTCTGCGGCCACATTACGTCGCAATGATTTGCCTGCTGAGATACCGCACTATCTCCGTACGTCTGCGTACAGATCGAGATACCAATGCCTTGCAGTCATCAGAAATCAGCAGTCATTTGACCATCAAGCTATATGTGTCAGCGATGGGCCGATCAACAGATTTGCTTCATTTGAGACCCAAATCAGGCTTCCCATAGTAACGAATAAAAAATTCAAGTAAAACCGGTTATTGTAAATTACCTCAATCAATTCGTTGCTTAAAATTACAGATAAAAACATCCAGGAAGTTCAAGATCATATCGACACTTGCTCGAAGATCACATGAAGGATATAAGCTACTTTTCACATTTCTTTGCTGTCTATTGCAGAGGACACGATTGAGAAGCATATTTCGAGGAATCAGTTTGCAGGCTGGGATTTCGGACGGTAAAATAGAAATATTAATTAATTTGAGGCCTTGTAAAAGTAGTAAATAAGACTGAAACGTAGAAGCAAAATAAAATATATATACAGTTCACACATTTGTGTAAAAGTAGTAAATAAGACTGAAACGTAGAAGCAAAATAAAATATATATACAGTTCAGACATTTGCAAGTATTTTCTTCGATGTTTTCTTTATTGTTTTCGTGTGTTGGTGCGATTGATGAATGAACGGATTCTTCTAAGTTGAATTCCTGAGTGCACGAAAATTGAGAATTTTTGAAATTTTTACAAATTTAGAAATACAGTGAAAAACCTATTGTGTAACTTTGAAATATCATGATACTTGTTTGTTATTTATGCGTCGAATATGTCGCTTTTTCATTGTTGTTGAAACCAAGGCCTGATACGGTAGATTCTGCTAGACATCATTGTAGTCAATGGCGCCAGAGGAGCAAGAGATGCTTTTGGCGACAGAACTTTTTAGGTCCCTGTGTCTGATAAGTTATCGTCACGATAATTTCAGGAAATGAATAACGATTCAGCAAATTACGATGACGATTCAGCAAATGTTATTTAGCCAGAGTGTAGTATGGTCCATACGAGTCGCGAAAAGTAATTTATACATATTAAGTAGGTATTTTGCGTTTCAGATCTCTTTATTTTCAAGGAAAATGCTGGGGCAACCTTTTGAATAATGCGAGTAGAAAATGTTGGAATGAACTGCGAAACTTAATCGATTAAGTTTCGATTCGGATAGGACCATTTCGATTAGGATTCAAGACATTAATTAATGACATTTTGTCTCGAATTCTATTCGTTTTATTTTTTTCTGTAGGAAATCTTTTATCTATTCATTCAACGAATTTTCATACAATTGTAAGGTGACTAGATAATCCTCACGTTGTCAGACGAGACTGCAACGCATTGATCTCTTGGCTTATGCCACCAAACATAAGATGTTATCTCAATATCTGTGTTATTAACGCATCGAAGTTGCTGTTCGAGTAGTCGAGCTTCTTGTCCCCAGGTTTGGCCCTGCCGTTTTTCTTTGTTCTTGTGTGCCACACAAGAATCTGTTCGCATAAAATTTAATCGAGCACAATTAGTCAAAAGATAATTCACTTAAAGCAGCAGATTCATGTTAATTTGAACAAATTTTTTATAAATGAGTTAAATGATAGGTTTTTGGTTTATGGTTTATTTTATCGGTGGACATAGAGTTTGACTTATTTTGAAAATCTTATCAATTGAAAAATATAGATGCTATTCAGGTTTGTTCATTTTGTGCTCCGGAAATCGGTTGTAATTTTGTGTGCCCAACGTTGAATATTTCATCTGATAAGGATACTAGTATATCTTGTCATTCAAATCGATGCCCAAATTTCTGCTTGATGTGATTAAAATGCGTCGTCGACGTGGTAAACTTATAGCATAATGATACATCGAAAAAACTGAATCTAAACACGAGTTTAAATTCAGATCTAAAAACCCATTAACAACTAAAATATGAACTTTTCCGGCTAAATCCATAATTAGCTGCAGCAGTTATAGAGTGAATGATAATTTTACATCGAAAGCCGGGTTCTGGATTTTACTGAAATTATATACGGTATTTCATTTCTTTTGAATTGTGCTACTTGATAACATGCATGATTCTAAGATCTCAGCGTCAAATGAAAATGAAGAAGTAGTTGATTCGAATTCAATAGTTTTATGATGGATATAATTGAATGGATCTCCCAATGAGTGAAAATCGTCATTCGAATTTGCCAACAGGGTTATATAATACCCAAGGCTAAATTGATGTACTCGGCAACAGGCCATAGGCCCATTTCTTCAATGCCGACACTTCTATTCTATTCTATTCTATATGACTGTATTCTATCTTCAATTAAAAATTTCACTTTCACCAAGGCAGAAATAGCCTTAGTAATTTGAGATTGCTAGGTAAGAATTTGGATAAAACTTTTCCCTANTTTTTATTTGGGTAGTGGCTTTCCTATCTCAGTACGAGATACAAGGTCGCACTTCGTCCGTAAAGTAGATCAGCGTTTTTGAAAATAGATACTAGATAATGAATATATAAGCGTTTTCGAAATAAGCTAATAGATAATTAATCAATCAGCTTTTCATCAATAAAATATTCTATCTCTATAGTAATTCTCTCGAAATATATTTTTTTGAGAGGTGCCTTTCTGCATGTCTTCATCATTCGCCTAAATGCAGATTCCTTTGTGTTTTTTTCTACTAGATGTCATATAACCTTGACATTTTTATCAACCAGTTGCATCATCATTATTTCATTATCTTTTACAGCTGATGACATTATTAGATGATGTATGTTTCAGAAGTAAATTTTAAATTTCGAATCAATGAACACTATTTTGAATTGAACACGAATCATCACAATATCGTATACTCTCTCAAGCCACTTCCATCTTTTTTATACTGACGGAAATACCGACCACATATGACAGAGGTATAAAATATTCCTTACCTTTGTAGCATTGACGGCGAGAAGCTCGATGTCGTCGAGGGTTACGTCCATGGATTCTAGAATTTTTGTCTCTTCTCTGCCGACCATAAACAGCATGTCAACCTTGGGTTTCGACAAGAACAAATTCACATTTACGGCAAATCCAGCCATGTCAACTGCAAACTTCCTGTTGGCAATCCACCCATCAAAGAAGCCAGTGACTCTCCCATGACGAACGATTGGGGAAACTCACGCCGAGGCTCGTAACCAGACCGACCGGGAACATGGGAACTTTCTTCGTTCATCGTATCTTCGAAAATAAATCATGATCATTATTAATCTCGTAACAAGAGAAAGGCACTGCACGATTTTGAATTAGAACTAATTAGAAAAAACTTGGGATCTAACGAGAATGTTTTTTGCTGCTTTTTATTGATATAATGAAAAGATGAAATTAACGCGACATTTATGCCAATGAAACAGAATTAGCGACATTTACACTATAACCAATCAACGTAATGGTTTATAACTTTTCATGAACTATTTTTAAATATTTGTAGTCGTTGAGTACTAACTTCCTCAAAAATTCTCGAGTCGTAAATGTTGTCGTCATCCGCGAAGTACAAAGAGCCGCCGCTCTTTGCGTGTCGTCTTATCCACCTCAAGCCCTTGCGTCTGTTGGCCACACCGCGCGGCTTGTGCAAGAAATTCCGGCTCCGATACTTCGCCGGCATGCGAGCTGATTGGGATAAATGCGAAGCCAAACTGAATTATATTTTGCTTAAATCATCTTCAATTGTACATTCCAACAGAATGTACAGTTGGTGCCAACTAGGTCTGCTGAGTAAAATGATCTGGAAAATTATATTTTCAGAGTAATTACTCAGGAAATATATGGGAATGTATTCTAAACAAATAGCAGATATTTGTTATTCAATTGTTTCGCGTAACAATTGAGTGTAATTGTTTTATTAGGCGATAGTTTGTTATGTTATACTTTATTCACAGCCGCCAGTCAGATAAATGGACCATTCAACATTAAGTCCAAGTAACGAAAACATTGAAGCCAATATTAAAACACTATTCTAAATCATGCAGCACAAATATAGACCAGAGTCATATATTTAAAATCGCTTCTGAATATTTTACCAATCATTAAATAATCGTATCAACGCATTATTACATTCATTAGGTAATTATATTACGGTATTGTAACTTTTACTAGATCATTGCACCGCAAAATATAAAATTTATTAGTCAACCATTTCACATTATTAAAACTCGGTTAATGTTCGCGTAAATTAAATAATCGTATTTAAACCTATATACTCTAACCGCGTCAGCCTATTAACCCTCCTTTCATCATCGCGGCAAAGGCATTTAAGACGCACCCAATTGTGACCTAGACGATCACATAGCTTATGCAGGAGCCATGCCCTAATTTTTTTAAAGCGCACCCAATCAATCTTGACGATGACGTTGCTTCTGTCTGCGTTGCGCCCTAATTTTAGAACGCACTCAATTTGATCAATCTTGACGATCACGTCGCCTCTGTCGGTGTTGCATACTAATTCTAGAATGCACTCAGTCGGTCTTGGCGATCTGTAAGAGGGTTAGTTTCCAGTCACACCCCTCACTTGTTATTTAAATGTATAACCTAATATGTGTATAAGTTCGGTAAGTGTTATCGATACGAGGGTTACTGAAAGATAGCGTAATGATTAATAAAGTATTATTTGTCGATTATATCCAGCTTACAGTTTATAGGAATACAGGTTTCAGTGTCTGAGCTTAAACACTCTCATCATCGGCTCACCTATCGTTCTCTATTTGACTTCACTGTCCTTTTAATATGAATAGGAGTTAGAGCTTCCACACGACTGTTCTTGCCCAGGAACACAGTTACTAGGAAGAGGGTAGATGAGTAAGTAGGAAGAGAGTAGATGAGGAAAATTTCATGGACATATCCCAATCAAGGAAATTATCTTCCAACAAGAAAGTTATCAACGAGGAAATATCCAAAGTCGAATGACATTGACAATATATATCACCTGACAGATCACGTTGCCTGTGTTGATGTTGCGCCCTAATTTTAAAAATATCCTATCGACTTTGATCATCAAATGATATATAAAAGCTATTTGAATCTATGCCATGGATGTGTTCGCACTGATAAATACAAACTATTTTAATCTATGAATATCTACTATGAAAATTGTGCTAAACCAATCGAACTGGATAAAACTCAGATATCAAATTGAAACCGGGAGTTTTCTGTGCTTTCAGGACTTTTATTAAAATGTATTTATTTTTCAGAGCGACGTGTTGTTATTTTGAACTAAACATCGCCAGAATTTCGTTATAGTTCCTCGTATATTGCAAGCCCTCGATTCGTCAATCGGGAACAGAAGCATACCTTATGCCTGCATCAAATTAAATTAACTTTCTCGTCCAATATGATTGTTCAATATGACCGCCTGCTACGATTTTTTCGAAACACTTTGGATTTTTATTGGATTTATCTCCATGTTGTAAATGCTTCACCTCATTATTACACAAGAGTGCTAAATTACACTGATTTTTATTTATTATCCTTTTATTGCCTCAAACTCATAAATTCCTATCCTTTACGTTTATCTTGTTAAATGTAGACGTCACAAAGCCATGCGGTCTTCCGTACATGCATATATAATTCGATGAGTAAATGTAAAATATATCCAGCTTTGCATTTTCGGAGAAGAATTCTTTTACTCATAATCCATAGTCAACCTATACTAAAATAACGTTCAAAGTAGCGCCAATATGGACCATATCTGCGATCAGACATTGAATCAACTAATTAATTTTTAATTGTCACGTGTATTATAAATATTGTCAGGATAATAATTGCGTCTGTAATGTACAGCGTTAATTTGGTGCAGTGGTCTTTGTTTCCAGAAAATATAGGGTTCTTCACTAACTACACAGTATCCCGTGCTTTTCAGCAAATACAAGCTCAGACGATGAACTCTCATCAGTTAATAATATGAAACTAGGGATCAATTGAACTTAGAAGACTTTCGAAAAATATCAGTTCTGTTCAATCCAATACGCAAGGCTTGGGCCTCCAAGTGTCCGTCTCGAAAATTGAGTAAACTCATTTATATATGAAACTCGCACTGATTGCTTTTCGATTCGACTTTCATTTGAATCGAAGCTCACAGATCTATGTGGACTTGCAAGTGTTTTCTTTAGGATCAAAATGGTACTTTATTGGCACATTCAAACTCACAAGGAAATTTTCATTTTCCAGAATATACTCAAATCCCCAGGAGTATACTTGAATTATCGAGTGATTGTTGTGTAATAACATAATAGCACAACTTATTATACTTATATACTATTATATTACTTAATAGTACAACTTATTATACTTAGTAATATCCACTGTAGGTATTTGAAGGTAGATTGTGTGCACAGTTAATTCATTATAAATCACTTAGTTACTTTAATAAAACAGTGCTTGCTTTGAGCAGTAATCAAGAAGCACGTGTTCTATTAGAAATTAGATTAAAAGGATTGCAATGGGTCTTCGAATTTTCTATTATAATTTTGAATCACCACAGATGTTAACTCGTGTAGGAGTGGGTATTAGTATGATAGGTTGCACTTGCTACGTTCAAATTTATGATAGTAATGAGCGTGTCAATACAGCGGCTTTTGCATGGTTATGGAATTTTTTCGATAGATTTTATATTAATTTACATATTATTCAGTTCCATATTCTATTTTTTTTTAATTTTTACTAGTTCTAAATTCTTGTTTATATTTACATTACAGATATATTCTGAAGTAATGACAAGGGCTTCATGGATGACATAAGCGAAGGGAACACACGATTTATATTTTTGTATTTATAATTTGCTTACTATTACAGCTTGTATAGACCATTTTTATTCATCCTTATTATCAAGGGTTGTCCGTACTATTGTGCAGGGAGAGTTAATGGCCCGTATGCTAAATAGGGCACTAGCACTACGAAGTAGCACTATGCACTACGAAGTGTCCTGTTGGTATGCTAAATACGTCATAGACGCTAAGCACTTCGAAGTAGCTCTACAATGTTTATTGTCGCTTAGTGTCGCACTACTGATTCGTATGCAGAAAAACTTTGAAGTGCTACTTCGCTGTTAGAGTACTGTTATAGTGCCGCACTACGCTATGAGTCTATTGAAGAATGGTAGTTAAGTGCTCAAATAATTAATTATTCCCTAAGTAATTCTCATTCTTTGCAGAAGATTGATGTAAAATGTCTAATTGTGATGATATATAATGGCACTAGCGAAAATTGTGATGGTGAGCTGAAATTCGTAATGCGTCTGCGCACCTTTCCCATCATATATTCAAAGGCGACGCTTCCCAAAGACATCGAACAAAAGAGAGAAGCATGGAAAGTTCTTGCAGAAGAATTCAAAATGATTCCAGAATAAAATACTTAAAAAAAACTTTTTAAAAAAACCACGTTTTTCTTGTGGACTAAAAAGTAGAAAATAAATTATGGTTCGCCCCAAAAAAACGTGTTTTTTTAAGTTTTTTTAAGTATTTTATTTTCTACTTTTTAGTCCACAAGAAAAACGTGGTTTTTTAAAAAGTTTTTTCAAGTATTTTATTTTCTACTTTTTAGTCCACAAGAAAAACGATTAAGACTGGATTAAGTATGACTTGACGTACGTATTGATGATACGCAGCGTTAGCGCCTGCTCGTCTATAGCGTGAGCGCCCGCACGTCATACTATATATATACTATATATATACTTTACTCAATTAAACTAATTTCGGTCTCTAATTACTAATTTTTATGATTGTATCTGAAATTGTTAGGCGAAAATAGCCTGCATGCCGAATTTCAGATCTCTAGAACAATCAGAAGTGGGCTAATTTTCGTTGTCAATTAAACAAACGCGAAGCTAAGCTAAGAAAAACGTGTTAAAAACGTGTTAAAAAACAAAAAAGAAAATTCAAAACATGTATCAAAAACAAGAAAAGTATTTTCTACTTCTACGCTGTTCATCTGTTTCGCCAAGGAAAATGTCAGTAATAAGAATAACATGTTGTTCACTGAAGCGGTACACTTTTTCATATTCATGACATGTAGTTCCTGAGGTTTTTACGCGATGATGCCTTTGCTGTAAGCCAAACAGATCCATAGCTGACGAAGTAAACAAGGTTAAATATACCGTAGTGTCGTCATGAAGTGCGGTGTGTAGGACACTTCAGATTTTTGTAGTGCGCGTTAGGCTTTTGGCCCTATTTAGCATACCAACCGTAGTGTTCTATGCCGCACTATGGCTTTTAGTGCGTAGTGCTACTTCATAGTGCTAGTACCCTATTTAGCATGCCAACCGTAGTGTTCCATGTCGCACTAGTACCGCACTATGGCTTGTAGTGCGTAGTGCTACTTCATAGTGCTAGTGCCCTATTTAGCATGCCAACCGTAGTGTTCCATGTCGCACTATAGTAGGCACTACGGCTTGTAGTGCGTATAGTGCTACTTCGTAGTGCTAGTGCCCTATTTAGGATACGGGCCATAGTTTACCGGTGACCCAGAGAGAAAAGCTCGTATTATTCCTTTTTCCGATCCATTGTTAGTTTGACTCAATATCAGGAACAGTATGAAATCCTCACATAAATCCTAATGCATTAATCATGCAACCCAAAATGTTCATCGTTGTGACGGGCAATTATTTTCAAATAT